ATAATTAGTATTGAGGTAAATGAGAATTACGGGAGTAGTTGAGTCTCAAGCGTACTTGTCAGAGGATGTGAGAAGTTGTACTTATTATTCTGTGTTGGGGCTTTGAAAATTCTACTGTCATGTGCACTGCCATCCTAACCGGGCATGAGAAAAGTAAAGCACAAGTTAAAGTCACATACAACCATGACATTCTACGTTGGGGACCCATAACAACAGATGAATGCAATCTTCTCATTATTTGGAACACGTGTATCAAATTGTATTCCATTGATTGCTTCAAGACAATTCTGAAAAGATAACGATGGGTTACGTGACAACCTTGTTTTTTTTGAAAGTTGAATTTAATAAATTTAAGACGTTACTTTAAAAAACGACATGTACTGTGCATCGTGTGAAGTATCTGTTGGGGTTCGTTCAAAAGTAAGATCTATTGGTTTTATGACTTGAAGAAAAAACTCATAAGTGACTTCAAGCTCAGTGAGAAGTATCTGCAAATTATTTGGGAGGAGTGTTGAAATCGCTGCATTGCTCCTTGCATTGATTCATTCTGGGATAATATGTAGAGGGTTATCACCAATACCTTGTGAAGTCGTCATGGAAGAGCCATGAAGTCCATGGTTTCTTTATAATTCCTTTAATAGATTGTTGAATATCACCTATGTCATGTGGAACATATTGCTAAATCTTATTTGGTGGCCCACAAGCAACTTCCTAACCCATTTTTCCCTAACATACATATGAGGATGTCACACAAGGGGAGCGATCTATGTATGAATTATAATATTTGTACATCAAGCATACGACAACTGCAACTATCCTTCTTTGCCTTTCTCTTGTTGCATCAATGTCTATCAGTATCATACCGGCTAACACAGAAATATCAATGAATTAGCTACAATCATATAAGGTTACGAACAACACAATAAACATATAAGCATCACTTATAAGCCATGTCCCAAGCAATTGAAATATCCATAACAAAATGAAAAACAATACACAAATATAAATGTCCTAAGCGATTGTATATAAGAAGACCTCCCAAATGTTTTCGCAGTTATAATAATATCATATGTATGCCACCCTATGGTCATTGGGGTATCTTGATGAAAAAAATCTCTATGGGTTGGATCTTCAAGCAATTCTATCGCAAACAAGTACAGTGACAACTCCTCAAAAATTTTCCTAGTTGCATTCAAAATTTGTAGAACCTGGTTGACAGAAGTTGCTTGAGATGTGTGGGTTCAGCGCTTCATGGCGCCACCAGGTATGATATCTGGCTTCTAAGGAAAGCAGCTCCTACTTTCTTTTTATTCTTAACTCACCAACACTTAAAACGACAGGTGGACTCAATTTCATGGAGGTCTGAGCTGAGGACTAGTAGAATCACCCGATTGGTTGGCTCCCAAGTTCTCGAGGGTGCCACCAAACCTTATCTCACTATGGGCACATGCATTGTTACCCGTAGCAATGACACCCTCAAACATTCGATCCAACTTCTCCTCCAACTTAAGATCAAGTTCACTGAGTTTAAATTTCTTTGCAGCAGACACCACCTTCAAATTCACAACATCTACTTCAATTTAAAAATAAATGAAATTGATCAAATTAGGGGACATGTCAAAGATTCTTACCGCAAGTCTTTCTGCTCACCACTCATCGAAAGCATTAATAGTTCGCTTCACTAGATCCCACCCTAGGCCCGTTGATCCTCATTTCAATGCCTTCTGAATTTTCCAATTCTTCTTGAGCTGATTCAATTTGTTCTTTAATTGCATCCTATTATACTCTTTACTTGTACTTTCCTTGAATTTTCTGATAATATGTTTCCACCCTTTCTTTTTGAAATAGGTTGTAGGCATGTTTCTCAGATTGATCTTCTTGAGGCAAAGGTCACAAAATATTATTTTTCTTATCTCACATTGCGAGTGTACTAGCCTCTTTGGTCTTAAACATTATATTACTATGATGAAAAAATAAGGTTACATAAATAAAAATGCAACAATATATATACATGCACACATCACACCACCACACAGACCCCACACACCACCACACACCATCAAACACACCACAATAACACATCAACACATAACGACATCACGCCTCCCTAAATCCTCCACACACCCAACCAACCATAATAACATAGCCACAACACACACACCACCACACACACACACACACACCATACCTCCTAAAACCTCCACACACACCCAACCAACCATAATAACACATCCAAACTACACACACCACCACACCCCTCTAAACTCTCCACATATCCAACCAACCACAATAGCACATTCACACCACACACCCAACCACACCTCCCTAAACCGTCCACACACCCAACCAACCACAAAAGCACTTCCACACCACACACACCACCACACATACTACTACACCTCCCTAAACTCTCCACACACCCAACCAATCACAATAGCACATCCACACCACACACACCACCACACCTCCTTTAAATCCTCCACTTAGCCAACCAACTAACCTCTACACCTCCACACACTCACATTTCCCTAAACCCTCCGCACACCTTCACACACCCAACCAACCAACATACCACACCTCTACACCACTCCAAAACAACACATCAACACACCACACAATCACACATTCTACCACACATCTCCACCACACCTTATGCCTTATGGTTCTCAACATTTTCTCAGCCATGTTTAATGAATGGCTTAAAAATAATTGATATCCTTTTTCTTTGCAATACACACATTCTAACAATCTGTAATTTTAGCTACTCTAAGAATGTGACAAATACACTTGCTTAATGCTCCCCATGGCCTTTTCATTAATTTTAAGAATATTTTCAACTTTTCTTCTATTTTTAGAATGTGAAGAAGGCAAATTCTACAATAAAAAAAACTGATTTAGGCAAATACATACGGACCACAACAAACGACCACACCATGAGACACCAAAACAAATCCAACACCTGCTTAAAAACAAATCCAAAACCTGCACTTCACTTGTGCAAACCCCACCATAACTCCATTCACAGATGTAAACCCACCACAAAAATAACACTCAAAAAGTAAATCCAACACCCCATCATAACAATAACAAAACCATTCTCAGATGCAGAAAATCAAATAAGCAGTCGAAACCGACCCCAAACTGGCCTCCTCAGCTTTTCAAATTCTCACTTAAAACCATCACAAAATACTAACATAAATATAAAAAGTTGAAGCATCAGCAGTTATCAAGCGAGTTAGAGCGGAAATCATAAACCAAATAATCTAAAAAATTGGGCGCTACACAGAAAACACAAGTAACACATCAAACAAATTCATGAAGAAACTCTCTATCTAAGCCAATACGGCTAACAGAGCAAATCCACTAAGAAAAGATAAGATATATGGGATATCAGAGGAAGAAGCGAACGTCCTAAATGAAGTTAAAGAAGACATGCAAATGCGAGATGGTTAGAGCCGAAAACACGAAGAAAATGCATGAGCTTCGCGGGATAGTTAGGGCAGAAGATGCGAAGTCGGGGTAGATCGATAGACGAAGCAAGGACAAGGTAGTAAAAATAGCACAAATAAACGCAGAAAGCAAGGTCGAACCCGCGACCTGCATTTTATAAAAAATGCGACGCGTCACCCCCTTAACACCCCCCAAACACTGCAGAATTGCGGTTTGAAACCGTGCCATGAGAGAAACGCACCCCCTCCCCTTCCCCCAAACAGACCCTTAATTTGAAATAAAAAATTAAAGTTTAGATGGTCACCATTTTAACGAGACGCTAAAAAATTAGAATACTTGTTTAGCCCATCGCCTTTCCTCGCTACTCCCTTCATCTCTCTCAATCTCTCTAAGTAGCTCCTTAATAAATCTCCTTAGATCGGAACCCAGTCCTCGAACTTCCCCTCATCTCCCCCATCGCCTTTCCTCGCTACTCCTTTCATCTCTCTCAATTTCTCTAACTAGCTCCTTAATAAATCTCCCAAGATCGGAACCCAGTCCTCGAACTTCCCCTCATCTCATGTTAGGGTTCTTCTCCTCAGTCACCCCTTTTGTCCCCAAGAGATCTAGAAAGACAAAAACAAACTAGTCTCCTGCATCTCACTCCTCAATCAGGTAAGCAATGAACTTATTGTACATCTCAAAGATCAAATAACAATGTAAGAAATCTTTCTTTCTTTCTTCTCCCTAAACTCAATTTCAAATTTTGAGCGACAGTTAATCAAGAATGAATTGGACTTTTCACTTGCATACTGGGGAACGTCGGTCTGACTGCTTCATATGCTTCGCATTCGAATTGTCATCGGTGAAGGCTTCTTGTTGGATGTGAATCTAAGGGAGGGATGCCATCCAAAGGAATGAACTCCCATTCCTCCACGTTGCTCTCATAACGATGGACGTGCCCTCAAATGAGCCCCAAGTTATCAACATGCTGAATCTTTTGATGTAACCCTCACACCAATAGAAGCATGGCCGTCCTTTCATTTTTATGCGCAATTCCTGTCTCATTCAAAAGGAAAAAAATTGCGTACGATAGACGTACGTAGCGCTGTGTGCGACTTCGAGGTTATAGGGAGGGTATAAGGGGGTTATACCCATATTATAACCCCTTGTAACTTCTATGTAAGATTCTGTAACTTACTTGTAACCTACTAATAAATTTTTAATATATGATAACAGAAACGCAAAACTTATTTGTAGGTTACAAGTAGGTTACACTAGATTACATGGAGGTTACAAGGGGTTATAACACCGGTATAACCCACTTATACTATCTCTATAACCTCAAAATCGCACGCAGGGATACGTACGTCTATCTTAGGCAAATTTTTTCCCATTCAAAACCCCCTTAAGCCAAAACAAACAGGAAAAAAAAGAAAAAAAAAACAGAGGAGAGACTGTGTTCGTGTTTCGATATGCGGATGCGCCTCCATAAGATGCGTAGGCAAATTTTTTCTCATTCAAAACCCCCTTAAGCCAAAACAAACAGTAAAAAAAAAGAAAAAAAAAACAGAGAGGAGAGACAGTGTGTTCGTGTTTCGATATGCGGATGCGCCTCCATATCCCACCGGCCGAACCGCTGCACACCAGTCACATTTACTCCCTCAGCACACCATTCTCAGCTCTAACCCCACTCCGGCCTCTTTCTGTTACTCTCCGTTCTTGTCAAATGGGAATCGACGGCAGCTGAGAAGCAGAGCTTGATTTCTCCTCCTCACTTTTCTGCTTGTCGTTAATGGGGGTTGAGCCGCCGCTGGTTGAGATCCTCCCATGGCTGAAGTCCCTTCCGGTGGCGCCCGAGTACCACCCGACACTCTCGGAGTTCCAGGACCCAATCGCTTACATCCTCAAGATCGAGAAGGAGGCCTCTGCCTACGGCATCTGCAAGATCGTTCCCCCGCTTCCCGCCGCTCCTAGGAAGACCGTCTTTGCCAACCTTAACAAATCTTTTGCTGCTCGCCCACAAAACCCTAACTCTAGTCCTAGCACAAACCCTAGTTCCAACTCCAACTCCAAGCGTTCCCCGACTTTCTCCACGCGCCAGCAGCAGATCGGTTTCTGCCCCCGCCGTCCTCGCCCTGTCCAGAAGCCCGTTTGGCAGAGCGGTGACTGCTACACTCTCTCCCAATTCGAGGCCAAGGCCAAGCTCTTCGAACTCTCCTACCTCTCCAAGTCAGCCCCTGCTTCTGCTACTGCTGCTTCTGCTGCCGCCACCTCGTCTGGCTCTTCCTCCCGAAAGAAGAAGAAAATCAAGCTCAAGAAAAGGCAGAAAAAGAGTAGCAAATTGTTTTCTTCGTATCTCTCAGCTCTTGAAGTTGAGACCCTTTACTGGAAAGCCTGTGCCGACAAGCCCTTCTCTGTGGAGTACGCCAATGACATACCAGGCTCGGGCTTTCCGCCCATTGGAAGCCCCACGGGCAAGAGGTGGAGGGAGGAGGAGGCGGCAAGCAATGTGGGGGAGACTGCCTGGAATATGCGGGGGGTGTCACGGGCTAAGGGCTCGCTTCTGAGGTTCATGAAAGAAGAAATTCCTGGAGTGACTTCTCCTATGCTCTATGTGGCCATGATGTTCAGTTGGTTTGCCTGGCATGTGGAGGATCATGAGCTACATAGCTTGAATTACTTGCACTTGGGCGCTGGGAAGACCTGGTATGGGGTACCAAGGGATGCGGCTCTTGCATTTGAGGACGTTGTAAGGATTCATGGATACTGCGGAGAAGTCAATCCTTTGAGTGAGCCTTTTCCCCTCATTAATATTTCTGTTCCAGTTTGTTTGGATTTTGAAGCGTTGTGGTATTGCATCTGAATGCCAATATGGATACCATATTCTACTGCAGTAATTCATTTAGAGATGATTATACTTATGTTTAACTGAAAAAAGGTAATAATTATATGTTGTAGCGAGCAAATGGGATGTGAAATTAGTGAACATTTTAAGAGCATTACAAGTAGTGAATAGAACATGCTCTTTGGTACAAAGGGAAGCAAATTGGTTACTCTGAAAAAAAATCTGGTTGGTGGACAGTCTAACTATTCTAAATTGAATGAACATGAAGTTTACTTTGCAATATTGGCTTGTCAAAGTACTCCCAGCCATTGGAGACAGGGCTGATTATGCTAGTGTCAATTTGTGACCCATTGTACTTCCTTTTGCTGGATGCTGCTAATTTTACGAGTATAGGGGATGGTATTTGCGATGGACTGTTTTTAGAGAAGGTTGTAGTTTGATTTTGCCTTTTCTGTTTGCTATTTCTTGTTTTAATCGCCTATGTTTGTATTGCTGTCATTGCATGTTTGATAAATACCATGCAGTTTAAGATTGGATATCGCTTTATTTAGAAGTTTTTTTTTTCTCCCTTCTCCATGCCCTGGCTATTTGTTTGGTCAATGGATGTTATAGATATAGATTTGATATCACTGCAGGCCAAAGTTTCATCTGCACCTTCTTCACTCGAAAATAAAGGAAAAAACATAAAAGCCTCTCTCTATATAATTGATAAGTTTCCAACAACCTTATTAAGGCGTTTTTTTCCCCCCCATCAGAGCTTGATTTTTTACTTAAAGTTCATCCCAATTGTGGATTGACACCCACACGGTGCAGCATGCATATTTTTACATATATCATAGATGCTTTTATTTTTTCAACCTTGTGTGAGAGTGCACTATTTCATAATGCACTATCTATGTTGTGCACTTTTCATAGTATGCTTGGTAATCTGAACTTGAGTGCAAGTGTTTTTCATTCCTGTAGAACTCAATATCAAGTTTTTTAATGTTCATCTTGGCACCATCTAAATTGGTTATAACAATTTTGCTAGTGGTTTTACAGGTAAAAGATTGATATGTGTAGATTTAATTTATAGAAAATGTCAGTTTCCCATATGGTGTGTGCCATTACATTATTTTGAAATAGTATAGTTAGTTAACTGCGAAGAACATGGGGTACAGCTACTAAGGCATTATAAATTTTTTAATAGGAAAACCAGTCTTATACTTATGCTTATTTTCTTACAAATGATTTCTTTTGTATGCATGATGTAAATGTACATGCAGGATTGTGACACATAATTTTGCTTACTTTACGTCAAATAAAGGTTTTCTCTTGGATAGATACACTACAATATCTGCATGGATGGATAAATTTGTATCTTCATAAATTATTATATAACCTTATATGCTGCATAAGCATGCATATTCATTACTATTTATCTGTCTCATATAAGCTTGTCATATTTCTATAATTGATAATGAATTCTTAAGGTGGCATAGCTCTATACATTTCAAAGAAAAGTTTGAGGTTTCAAGCCCCTCGTCAACTTGATTATTTAGGGTTTATTATGTGTCATCATTTTTTTATTCAATCCTGTTGAGTATTGCATGTGTGTTAAAATTATTTTTTACAATCCTTTTGAACAAGCATTATCCATGTTACTTCAGGTTACTATTCTTTTCCATTCCTTGAAGACTAATTTTATCACCCATCCAATGTGTGTATTTTTAGTCATTCGTTGTACATGTTCAAACTACTTATGTCATATTATCTTCAATATGCTACTATAATTGTTTCTTTAATATAATCTTTCTTTAATTTTACCTTCTTAGTTTTGTTCACATTTATTCTAACATCTTCATATTCACCACACATGATTTAGGGTATGTTTTGGGCAGTTGTTGCGGATAAGCTAGTTGTCTGTTTTTTTTTTGCAATTTGAAAACAATTGTGCTACAGCTGTTTATGGACAAATGATTATTCTACCCCGGTATAGTAATGATGTTTGTAATAAAACTGTCATTTCAATTTATTTTATCCTTTAGAAGCAAAAATTCATTCAAAACATTAAAAAAAAATATACATATCTCACTTAACAGTGAATATCATGATTACTAAAATTAAGAAAAAATCTATTAAAATAATATTTAATAATATGATAATATTATTTTTAAAATGCAGACAACGCATGTCACGAGCTAAACCATTATCCAAGAATACTCTTCATGCCCGATCACTCGGTGATGGAATCTTCTAGATTATCTGCCCACAAAAAAAAGGTCAGTTTTTTGTTATTCTTCGCGGGCACCTGTAAAACCGTCTCACGTAGTTATGTGACTGACGTAAAGTTAGCAGGGAACTTTGAAGTCCACAGTACCAGTGCAATCCTCAGATGGTATTAAAAATTTTAGAGCTCATATTTCCTGAATGCTTTAAAAGACATCCCATTAGACATAACACAAGTAAAATTTGATAAAAGAAGTAATTAATTATAGTTTTATGCAGCTGTCACCTGTAAAACCGTCTCACGTAGTTATGTGACTGACGTAAAGTTAGCAGGGAACTTTGAAGTCCACAGTACCAGTGCAATCCTCAGATGGTATTAAAAATTTTAGAGCTCATATTTCCTGAATGCTTTAAAAGACATCCCATTAGACATAACACAAGTAAAATTTGATAAAAGAAGTAATTAATTATAGTTTTATGCAGCTGTGATGTCTCAGAGAACTCAATATATCAACCAACAAATATGTCACTACAAGAAGACGACAGATCTTATAAAAAAGGGTTCTTGGTTGTCTTTAATCCACGTAATAATAAGCTCGTGTGTGTCACATATGCATATCATCTAAAAAAGATCATCTAGTAGAACCTAAAAAACAGTAACACAAAAAAAAGAGAGGAACTTGGTTAACTTCATTAGAAGTTTACATGTGACACCAACCAATAGCGACAAACAAACCATCCAGAAGCACCCATAAGGCCAAACATCTCATCATAAACTTTCAAATCCATCAAAAGAAAAATAAAAGAAATGCAAAAGGAAAAAAAAAACACTTAAAAACAATGTAAAAAATCCAAGCAATCAATATCAAATACACAATGAACAGAAATTAGCATGAACTGTATAAAATACAAATACAATAAATAGTGAATCTCTTCAACAATCATTATAATTAATAAGATGATGAATACTCCAATCACTCTTTTACTATCGCATCTGTAATTTGTTTCATCATCTCTGTCATCTCGCTTGCACGTTCTCCGCCTTTTGTACAGGTCTCGGGAACATCATTATCAGCCTGTGGCAAAGACTGCTCAAGACGATACTCATATGCCTCAGCAGAGATATGCTCATGATATTTTTCCGCCGTACGGAAGTCGATTTCGTTGTTGGAAGGATGCTCCCGAATATAGTTGTGAAGAATCATCATGACAACATCAATCTGCACTTGTTTGGGAAACAAGTAAGATGACATATCGTGAAATATAACTTATTTATTCTTCGAAACACCAAAAGTATTCTTAATAACGCCGCGTAAGGAATGTATTTTATTAAACATTTCTTTCCTACCCCTCGTGACATTGCTGGCTCGCTCAAATCCATATATGTGGTATCTCGTATTAGAATAGGGCTTGAGATATCCTAGATACAACGGATATTGCTAAATATCGTTGGGTGGCCCGCAAGCAATTTCCCAATCCGTTTGCCACCAGCATATGAGGATGTCATGTAAGGGGAACGCTATGTACGAGTTATGATATTCATACATCGAGCATACGACAGTTGCAACTCTCATTCTACGCCTTTCTCTAGTTGCATCCATATATTTTGATATTGAACTCGCTAAAACATAAGGATCAATAAATTAACCACAATCATATAAGATTACGAATAAAATCAACATAAGCAAATAAAGTTACAAAAGTAAATAGAAAACATAACGATGACTAAAAAACTCTCAAGTGACATGTACAAAGCATTTTAAACATTGAAAGCACAATGAAAAAATATAAATATATAGAATTTCCGACGCGAATATATATATAAAAATGTCTCTCAAATGTCCCTTCTCATAAAAATATCGTAGGTAAGCTACCCTACAGTCAGTGAGCTTCACGATGTAAAACTCTTTGGGTCGAATCTTCAAGCAACATCATCGAAAATAAATACAACGACAAGTCATAAAAAAATTTTGGAGTTGCATTTAGAATTTACACAACCTGCATGACAAAAGTTGCTTAAGGTGTGTTGGAGTCATTGTTGCATGAAACCACAAACTGTAATATCTGACTTATAAAGAAAACAACTTCAATTTTCTTTTTATTTTCAACTAGCAGACGCTTAGAGCTCCTCGTGGAGTTAAGTTTCTGGAGGTATGTGTTGGGGCTTTCACTGAAATCACCTGTTTGGTCAGCTCTGAAATTTTTAAAGATGCCACCAAACCCCGTCTCAGTGGGGTCATATGCATTGTTGTCCGTTGCCACGACACCCAAAAACATACGATTCAACGTCTCCTCAAACTCAGGATCAATTCTACTATATTTAAATTTTTCCGCAACAAACACCACCCACAAATTCATATAATATGTAACTCAATTAAAAAAAAAAGTAAAAAATGACCAAAATAGGGGACATTTAAAAAGTGCTCACTGCAAGTCTCTCTGTCTACCACTTTTTGGAAGCATCAATTGCTCGTGTCACGGGATCCCACCCCAAGCCCGTTGATTCTCTCTTCAATTTCTTCTAGATTTTTCAATCATTCTTGAGTTGATCCCACTTGTTTTTAACTATATTCCATCATCTTCTCTGTTCATACTTTCCTTGAATTTTTTAATAATATTTTTCCAACCTTCCTTTTTGAAATAGATTGTCGGCCTATTCGCAGGTCAACCTCCTTGAGGCAAATGTCGCAATATATTAATTGTCTCTTTGTCCCACATTACAGAAGAACTAACTTC